CCGAGACCCGAGCGTCCGCCAGGCGAGGCTTCGGCGCCGGTCCCTGGGCTCCCTTCCGCTCCCTCTCCAGACCTTCCCCACGCAGCGCCAGAGGGCGCTCGGGGGCTCCAAGGGGACTTAATTGCTCCCTAACTCACCCTCTTCTTGGCTCTCGGAGCCCTCACCCCTCTTGTCATCGTCTTGACCCAGGAGCCCCTCACCCCAAGCTCCAGACACCACTTTCCTTCAGCCTGAAAACAAGCCCTACACACCTGGTGCATTTGCTTTGCTTCCCCACGCGCTCTCCTATTATGCGCTCTCAGATGCTGGCTCTCATCCCCTCCTCCAGGAAGCCCTCCCTGACTCCTGACTCCCAACAAGCTCAGATCCCATATTAAATGCTTCTGGAGCACTCGGTATGAGCCTCTTGAGTTGCACTAGCCTCAGACATGTGCTTTATTTTTGTGTTTCAAATGGCATTACTATTCAAAAAAAAAATCACCCTCGAGTCTTCTCTGACCCTGTCTCTACTCCTTGTGAAATGCTGTCTGCGGTATCTAACTTAGAAATGTTACCTCAAGGCTGGGCAAGGGGCACGCCTATAAAGCCCAGCACTTTGGAAAGCCGAGGTGGGAGGACTGCTAGAGCCCAGGAGTTTGAAACCAGCCTGGGTAACACAGTGAGATCTCCTCCACAAAAAATAAAAAAATTGGTCAGGTGTGGTGGTGTGCAACTGTAGTCCCAGCTACTTGGGAGGCTGAGGCAGGAAGCTCACTTGGGCCCAGGAGTGTGAAACTGTGGTGAGCTATGATCGTGCCATTGTACCCAAGCCTGGGCGACAGAGACCCCAACTTAAGGCCACAGAAGTACTCCTTGCCCACCTCCTATCCTCCAGTCTCTCCCCTTCTCCCTTAAAGCAAGTTGTAGAAACCAGAACTCCTCTTCTCCAAGGGGGGTGGGGGTCACAGAAATTGGAACCCCTCTTCCCCAAAGCAAGCCATGTGACCTAGAGTATTATTCTAACCTCTACCTGTGTAGATGCTGGCGATAAAGAAACTATCTGAGGCTTACAGGAGTGGTGGCTCATGCCTGTAATCCCGGCACTTTGGAAGCCCGAGGCAAGAGGACAGCCTGACCCCAGGGGTTCGAGACCAGCCTGGGCAACTTGGCTGAGATCGCAATAAATCAATAAATCAAAAAAATAAGCCATGGAAGCACACACCTGTAGTTCCAGCTACTTGGAAGGCTGAGGCAGAAGGATTGCCTGAGCCCAGCAGGTAGAGGCTGTGGTGGCCGTGAGTGTGCCACTGCATTCCAGCCTGGGAGACAGAGTAAGACTGACTTAAAAAAAAAAAAAAGACACTATCTGACCTGTCTTGTCTGACCCTCCTTCTTGAGAGGTCCAGTCCTGTCCTGTCTCTGGGAGGCAGGAATGCAACGCTGAGGCCAGGAAGAATCTGGACAGGCCTTACTGGTTTGTTTCCCCACTCAGTCTGTTACCAGTAGTCATCCCTTTCTGTCCAATCACACTTCGACATGGCTATCTATTCTTCAATGACTCTTAGCATAAAAATGCAGAATTGGCCCTGGAGTTTGGGGCCATTTCTGCAGGTTTCTGTATCACGTAAAGCTTCAGTTAACATGTTGGCCTGCCTTTGGAACAGGACTGTGAGCCATGATGCTTCTGATGGGCGTGGTGCCTTGTCCCCCACCCCATCAGCCAGGGCTGTCCACCTCCTCCACTAGAGCGAGCACTTCGTGAAGGCAAGGACTGCTCGCTGCAGAATCCCTAGCACCTGGGACTGTGCCCTTGCAGAGCAGGGCTTAGTCAACACTTGCCGAGTGGCTTGCCTGATGGTGTCTCCCACCTGAGTGTCTGTTTCTGAAGGCAGGGGTCTGTCCCCTTTGCTCTCCCACAGCCAGTGGCCAGCACACAGCAGGCTCAACACAGCAGGAAACCCCCCTCAACGCATACAAAGATAAATTCAGGCCTAGAGGGAAGAGGGGGACTTATCAAAGCCCCCGAGGGCGGCAGAGTCAGGACCCAGCAGCCCTCCCTCCCCACCCAGAGCACAAAGCTCAGGTCCCTTGTTCACTGAGTCAACACGGTTTATTACTGAACTGCACTTTCACCTTCACACAGACTATTTCAAAGAGCTGGAACAAGTGTGGGGTGGGGTAGGGGAGGGACAGGTGCCCCTCGGGAGCCAGGACCCTGGCCGGCTTCCCCGACCAGGGCAGGGGAGGGAGCGTCAGGCCGTCCAATCTCTGGGCACCAGCTCTCTACGTGCACGCGCACAGCAAGCCAGCAGCTCCTCACACATAAATACAGACACGCTTAACAAAAATAGTATATCATCTTCACAAGGAATAAAAACTAGTCTCGAATATGTACAGCAGAGAGCCCAGGGTGGCCGGGACTAGGCTGGGACCCCCAGGGATGAGACAGGCCAAGAGAGGAGCAGATGAGACAGGGAGGCTGGAGGGGCTCTGGCCAGGCCACTCTGGCCTTGGCAGCCCGGCTGCCCAAGCTGGATGGGGATGGGGCACAAATCCGCCTGGCCAGGCAGAACTGGCCCCTCCAGTCGGCCCCACCCCCACCCACGCATCAGGCTCTCTTTCCTGCCCTTCCTGCCTGAGGTAGGGAAGACCCTGGGGCTCCCACAGCTGCTCCCCACAGCTCTCCTTGGGCCTGAACCCTTGGGCCTCACGGGCAGCAGCCCAAGGCGAAGATGCCACCGGCTGATCTCCTTGCCGGAAGTGAGGCAGCTGAGGCTGCAAACAGCTCTGCCACACCTGTCCTGGGCCCAGTTGGTCCCTCGGTCATGGTTATGGAGCCAGGGGAGGAGAAGGGACTGGGTGGTGGCGACTGCAAGGGCCACCCTAGCTTTGGCATGGGGTGCTTCCTGCAGCTGTGGCCCCCTCCCTCCTGGGTGGGACTGGCCTCTGGCCAGAGGCATCTGGAGGACATTCAGACAGGGAGTGGGGACTCTGGTCAGGCCAGAGGTGGGGAGGGAGTCCTGGTTCTTGCTTTTATCCTAAGCTGCCTGAATCCCTCATCAGTCAAAAGTGGCCCCTAAATGGCTCTTGGGGACGGGGATGGGGATGGGGGATGGGAAGCTCAAGTCTGAGGAGATGGGAAATGGTAGATTCTGAGGCCACAACATCAAAACAAAGGCAATCTAGTCTCGCTTCCTGGGGAAGAGGTTCTGAAAACTTTCCAGCTCCCTGGCAGAAAAACACTTCTGCAGTGGCTAAGGGGTAGGGTTCCACCTGCCACGCAGAGCTCTCCTGTCCACCGCCACAAGCCCTCCCATACCTGCCAACCCAGGTGGGGTGCATTTGGGGGAAACTGTGGATTTTGAGGCCAAGCGAACTAAGGTGTGGGGAAAGTGGCTCTCACAGAAGTGTGGTAAATTCTAGAAGACTAACTGCAGGGGACCAGGTCTGGGGCCAACCCTGTGACGGGTGGGTGGGTGGCATGGCTGCATGTAGTGGTTCTCCTGGTGGCAATGGCGGCTGGACGGAGGGAAGTGGTGCGGGCAGGGCAGAGTGGGAGGGGAGTGGATGGTCAGTGTCTGGTCATTTCCGACTGAAGAGCGAGCCCAGCAGAACCACGCCAGCTACGGTCATGCCCGTCAGGAACCAGCGGTTGAAGCGCTCCTGGCCCTTCCGGCTCTCAGCTGCTGCATTGTTCCCGTAGAGTTCCACAAAAGTGTCCTGCAGGGAGAGAGAGGGAAAGACACCATGAGTCCTCAATAATGCAGGCGGGAGGAAGAAGAGGACAGTCAGCTCCAGGCTTTGGTTATCTGAAAAACGGTAGCCTATCATGCTCAGTGAGCTATCACAGAAACAAAGGACTGAGGACCACATGTTCTCATTCATAAGTGGATCCTGGACATTTATCACAATGCTACAAGAGAGGGATCGGCAGTAGTGGGACACTGCCAGGTGGGGGTGGGAGTGGGGGTGGAGGTGGGGCCGAGGGAGGGTACAGTATCAACAAGGGGGCCTGATCCCAAACCAGGCTAAGTGAGGATCAATGGGAGGCCTAAACTTCATCAGTACGATGACCGCTTACATGCCTCATCCTGAACTGTACCCCACATCTTTAAAAAAACAAAACAAAACACCAAACAGTAGCCACCAGTGCTCACTCTGGGCCAGAGAAGGGTTAGAGCGCCCTCTTTCCTGACTCCCAGCTGGGAATGATGAACCCATGTTACTGTTGAGAAAGCAGGCACAGGGGAGAGGCGGTCTGTGTGAAGCCAGCCCAGAATTGCTGCTCACTCTAGAACCCAAAGCGGGGAAGAGACGGCAGGGCAGGGGACTGACCAGGGCAGGAAACTGAGAACTGACAGGGTGATGGCTGGAGCAGAGTGTAGAGGAGGGGATGGGGGGAGAGGAGGGTGCAGGGGTGAGCAGGAGCTGGGCCAGGTGTGGCCTGGAAGGCGCCAGGCAGCTGAAGTTGAGTCTGAGAGCAGTGGGACCTCCTGGTACACCAGGGGAAGGAGAAGAGAGGGGTCCAATTCCAGGGTCACTGGGGCACACTCAGGCGAGGAATGGGTTCTGGGACTTTTGGCAGGAGAAGACAGGAGAAGCAGGGCTGAGCAGAGGGTAATGACAACGCAGGACTGAGGCTTCCATGATGGGGTCTATGAGGTCCTGTCCCTGTCCCCATCCAGAGGGTGTGACTGGGCCTGGGAGGAGATGAGCAACAGCCCTTTGCTCTCGAGCTACGTCGGAAGGGAAGCACAAGGTTCAGGAAGGAGGAGCTGCGGGCTAAGATGCCAGTTGAGGGTGTCGCCAGCCTTTGGTGTGGGGAGAGCCGCATGGAGCACCTTATTATAAGTAAGCTGCGCACCCAAGGGTCCTTTAATCCTCTCAGCAATGCTGCAGTGCAGGCTATCCCTTCTCATGTACAGACCTGGAAGCTGGCCTCTGAGGCCCCAGGGACTTGACCAAAGTCACCCAGACTTGCCAGTGGTGTCAGGCACCTGGAAACAAGTGCTCTGCATGTGTGGGGAACGAATGGACCACCGGCTGGTCCAAGGCCACACTCTGGCCTCTCTACCAAGACCTCCCACAGCACGCTTCTAGGTCCCTCAGAGAGCCCACCATCCCCAGTTGGCCTCAGGTCCCACCCACCAATCTGCTCACTTGTGACACCTGCCTGGCCCCATTTCTCGTCTTGATGTGTCTCCTCAGTCCATGTGCCATACAGAGGTTTCCAGAAAAACAGATCGGATCACAGCACACCCGGGCTTCAAGTTCTCCCGCAGTTTTCCCCTGCACTTAGAAAGCTAGTGTCGTTTATGTCATAGCCCTGGGATCCAGCAGGGTGCCACATGCGCTGACCCATGAGTCAGGGCCTTACAGAGCACACTGTCTAGTAGGAGGAAAGAAGCCGGCAGTTGCTATGACTAGTTCTACACAGTGTCTGTTGTGACATGATGAGGTCTTGTCTTGCTCGTATATACCCAGTGCTTAGACCAGTGTCTTGCACATAATTAGTGCTCAATAAATACATCAGCAAACAAATGGACTACATGTCAACAGCAAGGGCCAGGCACTCTCATCCCATCTCACCCTCATCAGAATCCTCAGAGGTAGAGAGATCTGAGCCCCATTTCACAAATAAGATGACTGGGGTGTAGCCAGGCGAGGTGGCTCATGCCCGCAATTCCAGTGCTTTGGGAGGTGGAGGAGAGAGGATCGCCTGAGTTCGAGACCAGTCTGGGCAACTTGGCGAGACCTCGTCTCTACAATAAATCAAAAAATTATCCAAGGCGTGGTGGTGCGTGCCGGTAATTTCAGTACTTGGAAGACTGAGGTGGAAGGATCGCCTGAGCCCAGCAGGTTGAGGCTGCAGTGGCAGTAAGCGTGTAACTCACTCCAGCCTGGGCGAAACAGTGAGACTCCTACTCAAAAAAAAAAAAAAAAAAAAAAGATGACTGAAGTGTCAAGCAGGGAACGCTCAGCTAACAGAAGGCACTGCCAGGATCAGGCCGCAGGACTGCCTGACTTCAGGACACGTCCCGCAAGTGGGGGCTGAGGGACCCATCTTGTCAACAGTGCTGAAAGGGTTCCCAGGAAGCAGGTAGATGTGGAGCCCAGGAGCTGGGGAGGGGAGGACAGTGCCTGGTGCGGATACACCTCCCTGTGTCCCTCTAACCCTGGCCGGCCTCTGTGGGCAGATAAAGAAACCTAGGAGAAGTTTAATTTTTCTGCTCCAAGTAAGTAGGCCCAGACGGAGTCACAAAAAAGGCTCTGTGATGAGGGAAGAGTTCCAGGCTGTGGGAAGCGTAGAAGGCCTTGCTTATCCCTAGGGGTCACATGTCCCATGAGAAACCAGGGACACTGGGGTTGCAGCCAAAATGGGAGAGGCCTGGCTCCCTCAGTGGGAACTTTCCTGAAGCAGAGGACTGGCAGCCACAGGAAATTTTCGGCTCTGGGGCTGAGCTGGAGTAAACAGGCTCTGTCCCCACAAGGGCACAAAGCATTCACTGTCCAGGAACAGTCATTCCAGGGTGGAGAACACGCTCACTTCAGTGCCACAGAGAACAAGGCGCTGACTGCCCCGGTCCTCACTCACGAGTTCCTGGCCAGGGCAACCTTCACCTCTACTTCAGCTCCTTCTCCTGAGGAGAGGGAGGAGGGTTTCCAGGGGTGAGGATTCTGGGGATTGCTTTTGCAGAGAGAGCCCGAGCAACAAGGGGTGTGCTGTTCCAGGGCGGGTGCTGGAGATGTGGTGGCATGGGTATATTTAGCCCACGGTTCACACAACACTCTTGGAAACAAACAGCCATTTTCTCGGTGGGCGGCTCCTCTGGATAAGTAAACAGGATCGAAGCACAGCCCTGGTCTGGAAAAGCAGAGATAAGCCTGGCTGCTCCTCAGTGGCTCCCTCTGGCTTAGCCGGGCCTCGCCTGTCGGGCAGGGGCTGAGATGTGAGTGTGGGCAGCAGGAAGGGCTCTTGGTGTCAAAGAGGTTTTTGGGAGACCCAGGCCCCAGAGCCTGTCTGCATCCTCAGCCTGGGTTAGAGTGAAGTGGGGCAAGTTTCTCTTTGTAGCTGACTTCCACGTGGGGGCTTTTAGGGCCACTGGGGACAAGCAATGGCTGCCAACCTCCACGGGAGTCATGGACTCCTCACCAGGCAGACCCAGGAGGCAGCAAGGCCAGCCGTCTGCCCCATCTGTGGTTTCCCACTGCCAGTATGTGGAAGAGCCCAGACTCCGATCCCGTTCTCCTGACTTGGTGCCTAGCAGAAGCCCAGGAGAGAACCACTTTCAGGGTCTTTCCTCCAGCACTTCAAGCCTCAACAGTCCTGGCCACACATGTGGAATGACCCCACACAACATACTCCAGCATGCTCAGGCCTTGATGCCCCTGCCAACCCTGTGCCGTCTGATGGGCCACGCTCCCCACATCTCCCTCAGCCAATCCTTACTCAGCCTACAAGACCCCACCTCAAAGTGTCCTCTTCCCTGTTCCTTCTTCTCCCAACTCCAGAATGAATGTCTCCTTTGTGCTCCCAGGGCCTCTGGGCTCTTGTTCATACCCTGAGTATTTACTGAGCACCTTCTGTGTGTCAGGGCTGGCACTGGAGATTCAATATGAACAAGGCTTTCCTGGAGGTTAGGAAACACTGCCCTAGTGGGAAGCAAGGAGGACAGCAAGAACACAAAACAATTTCAGAGATGACGGGGTTTTGAAGAAAACAAGTCATGGGGAAGCAACAGAGAGTACCTGGGGCTAGTGTAGGTGGAGTGGTTAGGAAAGATCTCTCTGAGGAAGTGAGGTCTGAGCTGAGACTTGAATAACAAGGCAGCAGCAGCCATAGATCTGAAAATCCTGAGTAAGAAAGAATATGTTCCAGCAGAGGTAACGGGTACAAGAGACCTGAGGTGGGAGAGAGGAAAGGTGTCCCTGGGTTGATGCCCTCTGTCTGTGTGCTGGTCTCCTCCATCAGTCTGAGGGCTCAGTACAGGCAGGGACCTAGTCTGAGCCAGGACTGAAACCCAGGGCCCACCGAGACAGGTGCAGACTGACTGCAGCAAGGTCTCTGCCCAGAGCAGCCAAATGAATGATGCAGGGCACCCTGCAGCAACCTGGGACCTGCAGAAGTCAGGTGAAAAGGGTTGGCTAGATGCCACTAAGGATGCTCAAGTGCCAGGAAGCACCCTTACCGCCAGAGGCTAAAGCACAGTGCCTGTTGAAATCTGACCAGTCTTTCAATTCCTATCCCTCCTCACTGCTCACGTCTCTCACTTCTTCCTAGCATTGTGACTTGCAGCAGGCAACTTCCCCTCTCTGGCCTGGGTGTCCCCACTTGTTAAAAACAATAAAATCAGCCGGGCTCAGTGGCTCAGCCTGTAATCCAGTGCTTTGGGAGGCTGAGGTGAGTGGATTGCCTAAGCCCACGGGTTGGAGACCCACCTGGGCAACTTGGTGAGTCCTCATCTCTTTAATAAATCAAAAAATTAGCTCGGTGTGGTGGTACATGCTTGTAGATCCAGTTACTTGGAAGACTGAAGCGAAAGGATCGCCTGAGCCCAGCAGGTCGAGGTTACGGTGGCTGGGAGTGTGCCTCTGCCCTCCAGCCTGGGTAACAGAGTGAGACGCCTACTCAAAAAATAAAAATAAAAATAAAAAAATAAAATCAACAGCTTATTAGGATTGCTGACCTTTCATCAGACACTTAGACATTTCACCTGTGC